GTTCCATTGATCTATGTGTCTGTTTTTGTGCCAGTACCATACTGTCTTGATTACAGATTTATAATAGAACTTGAAGTCCAAGATTGTGACGCCACAGTTTTAGTTTTCCTTTTCAATATTCCTCTGGCTATTCGGGGGTCCTTCTTGGTTCCATACAAATTTACTGAATTCCTGTATGAATTCCAAAGAATTTTTTCCTTTATTACTGTATGTTGCCAATTTAATTACAATATGTCTTAGTGTGGATCTGCTTTTGTTGATTTTGATGGGAGTTCTCTGTACTTCCTGGATTTGGTTATCTGTTTCCTTCCCCAGGTTACAGAAGTCACCTTTTATTTCTTCAAATAAATTTTCTGTCCACTTTTCTCTCTCTTCTTCTTCTGGGACTCCTATAATACAAATGTTAGTATGTTTGATGGAGCCACTGAGTTCCCTAAGTCTATTCTTGTTTTGTGTAATTCTTTTTTCTTTTTTTCAGCTTGATTGCTTTCCATTGCTCTGTCTTCAAGGTCACTAATTTATTCCCTTGCTTCTTTCATCCTGCTATATTCCATCAAGTGTATTTCTCATTTCATTCATTAAGCCCTTTATCTCTGCTATGTTATTCCTTTTCTTTTTACAATTTTATTTTTAATTAATTTGTATACTCAATGTGGAGCCCCAACTTGCAAGATCAAGAGTGTAATGCTCTACTGACTGAGCCAGTCAGGTGCCCCTCTATATTATTCCCTAATTCTGTGTTAAGGGTCTCACTCATATCTTCCACTCTTTTCTCAAGTCTAGTGAGTGTTCTTATGATCATTGCTTTAAATTCTTGAGATATCAGGCATGTTCCTTATATCTGTTTGGCTTAGATCTCTGGCTGTGGCCTTATCCTGCTTTCATCTGGGATAAATTTCTCTATCTCATTTTGTCTGCCTCTCTGTGTCTGTTTCTCTCTGTTAAGAAAGTCACCTAGGTCATCTGCTCTTAAAAGAAGTGACTTTATGAAGAGGCAGTTCTGGAGTCCCTTGAAGTGCAGTGCTCCCTGTTAAACAGAACCTGGCACTTTAGGGGAGTATCCTACGTGTGTTGCTTACATCCTGCTGTTATGTCTGAGTCACTTTTCCTTTCAGTGCAGCCATCTGCACTGACCTTCTTGCCTGTTGTGGTATAAGCTTACTATCTGGTGTTAGTGGGACTCAGGCAGACCAGTTCTGAGGGGGCTTGCCCACCAGGGAACTTGGGAGTGGAGTACTGGTGTTAGCTAAATTGCACTGGGCCACTAGTCCTATGCCAGATCTCCCAAAATGCTGTGGCTGCTGGGGAGGTGAAGCTCGTGGAGAGCATACGACAATGGCTGGGCATGGCCTGCAGCAGCAGGTATGACAAGGGAACAGAATGCAAGCTGAGGACAAAGCAGAAGCTGACATCCCACATCACCCACCCTCCCATGGTTCCTCAGACACTCCTGGCTGGCCTAAGGCCAAGGAAAGGAAGGATAGTTAACCTATAGAGATCACAATCTTGTAAGACCTGACTCTCCCTCAGTTTACAAATGTCTTAGAAATCTATAAGAACAAAGCATTTCTATCAATAACCTAGCTTCCAGAAGGACATGTAGATATAATTTAATGTTCTTATAATCTACAGCCCATTAACGGACACTTGAAGCAGGCAGAGTAAAAATGTTCCTCCAGGAAGTTCCCAACTATCTTCATGTTAATGCCTTGCTACAGGGAAAAACCTTAACTTGACAATGACAAGGCCTCCAGTATCCTGTGAGTCTTAACATAGGAAAATCCTTTTGAAACCTCCCGTTTTCCTTACCTGCCCCAAACACAGAGTATATAATCAGCCACCCCTCACAACCCTAGGGCAGCAGCTCTTTCTGCCCACTGGTCCTGTCACCGTACTTTAATAAAGACCATTTTGCACCAAAGATGTCTAAAGAATTATTTCTTGGTCATTGGCTCCGGACTCCAACCCACTGAACCTCACCTATATTCCAAAACCCCATCAGGTGTACACCCAGAGTCTGGGCGGGGCACACACGCAGCTTTAACAAAATCTGCTCTGCGCCCCAGGTCCAGGCTACAAATATCTGTGCAGCCTCCTCTCCCACAGGGAGTTTATGGTTATGCTGGGGGCTGGGGGAGGAAAATGGTACCTGCCAGTTCCCTCATTTTCAAAGGAGTCCATCAATATGCTCTGAAAACAGTATGAACAAATATTTCTCCTGTTTGCCCATGGCACTGTGTAAACTGCCAATTTTATGTTGCCTCTCTGCACAGCCTGCGCTCTCTTTAAGGGCAGGGACCCAGCTATCACTTTCCCTCCTGGCTCACCCAGAGCTGTGTCAGCTTTTAAAGACTTTTAAAGTTACAAGCTCCAATTGCCACTGCTTTTACAAACTCATAGAATTTAGCTCCTCTGGTTTTTAAAGCCAAACATTACGGGGATTAGTTTTCCCATATGAGTTTCCTTGTACAAATGCCTGTTTCCCTGTCCTCTCCACGCACACAGCTCCCTTTCTCCTGCTAGCAGTCTCCTCCTGCCTTTCTGGCCTCCTAATCTTTCAGATGCAGCTTCTCTATATTTGGTTGTGGAGTTTGTTCTGCCAGTCTTCAGACTGATCTCTGGTTTAATGACTTGGATGTGGATGATATCTAGTTGTAAACATGGGGCAGTGTATGCTTAGGGTCTACCCTCTCTGCCATCTTCCCATGCTCCCCCAGATAAGATAGTGATCTGGGTAAACAAAATATAAGCAAATCAAATTCTGTAGCATATTGAAAGGATTATGACTATGACCAAATGAGATTTATTCCTAGAATGCAAGGATAGTCCAACATATGAAAATTGATTGTCATATACTACATTACAATAATAAAGTGAAGAGACCACATGATTATCTCAACTGCAGAAAAATAATGACAAAATTCAACATCTTTCCATGATAAAAATACTCAGCAAACTGAGAATAGAAGGAAACTATCCCAGCGTAAGAAAAGCCATACAAGAAAAATGCATAGTGAACATCACACTCAATGGAGAAAGACCTTTTCCTTCTAAGTTTGGGAACAAGGCAAGGATGCTCACTTTTACTACTTCTATTCAACACTGTACTGAAAGTTCTAAACCAAGCATTAGTCAAGAAAAAAGAAAAGGCATCCAAATAGCAAAGAAAAAAAAAAAAATCTCTCTTTACAGATGACATGATCTTATTATGTAGAAAACCTCAAAGATTCCACATAAAAATTGTTAGAAGTAGTAAATGAGCTCAGCAAGTAGCAGAATACAAAGTCAACACACAAGAATCAGTTGCATTTCTATACAGTAATCAATCTGAAAAGCAACTTGAAACAATTCTGTTTTTAATATCATCAAAAAGAATAAAATACTTTGGAATTAATCAAGGATGTGAAAGACTTGTACAATGAAAACTACAAAACACTGGAGGAGTAATTAAAGATGACTAAATAAATGAAAACACATCCCATATTCATGGATCGGAAGACTTATATTTTGAAGATGTCAATACTACCCAAATTGTTCCACAGATTCAATGCAATCCTTACCAAAATCCCAATGATATTTGTTATGGAATAGAAAAACATCCTAAAATTCATATGGCATCTCAAGGGACCTCAAACAGCCAAAATGGTCTTGAAAAATAAAAAACAAAGCGGGAGTGCTCAAATTACTTGGTTTCAAAACTTAAACTACTAAACTTACTAATTATTTCTTGGGAATGACACTAAAGGCACAGGCAACAACTATAAACAAAAAAAAAGAAACTGGACTTCATGGAAAATTTTAAAAATTGTTCATCAAAGGCACTATCAACAAAACGGAAAGGTAATACACAGAATGGAAGAAAATTTTGCAAATAATATACCCAGTAAGGCATTAGTAGCCAGAATATACAGAAAATTCCTAAAAATCAACAACAAAAAACATCAACAAGCTAATTCAAAAATGGGCAAAAGACTTGAATAGTCATTTCTCCAAAGATACACAAATAACTAATAAGCACATCATTAGGTAAATACAAATCAAAAGCACAACAATATACCACCTAGTATTCATTAGGATGGCTACTATAAGAAACAAACAAAATAACAAACGTTGGTAAGGATTAGGAGAAACTGGGATCCTTATGTATTGTTGGTGGGAATGGAAAACTGTATAGACACTGTGGAAAAGGCTATGGTGGGTCTTTAAAAAATTTAAAAAAATTAGAATTACCATATGATCCAGCAATTCCACTTCTAAGTATAAACCAAAAGAACTGAGAGCAGTATCTTGAAGAGATATCTTCACACCCATGTTTACAGCAACATTATTTGTAATAGCTGAAACATGAAAACTACTCATGTGTCCACTAGCAGATGAATGAGGAAGCAAAATGTAGGTATACGCATGCAATGAAATACCACAGAGCCTTAAAAAGGAAGGAAATTCTGACATATGTTACAATTTGGATGAACCCTGAAAATATGCTAAGTGAAATAAGACAGTCACAAAACCACAAATATTGTATATTATACGAAGTAATTAAGAGTAGTCAAATCATATAGACAGACAGTAGAATGGTGACTGTCAGGGGCTGGGGAGGAGAGAGAATGGGGAGTTAGTTATTTAATAAGTATAGAGTTTCAGTTTTATAAGAGGAAGAGTTCAGGAGATAGATGGGGGTTAAGAATAACATTCATTATGAATGTATGTATTACCAATGAACTATACACCTAAAACTAGTTAAGAGGGTAAATTTTGTTTGTGCATTTTACCACAATGGAAAAAAACTGGAAAAAAAGAGAAGGAATGTAAGCCACAGAGCATGGTCTTATTTAATCAATACTACATTTTCAGGGCTTAGGAAGTACCTTGCAGAGACTCAAAAATATCTCCTGAAATATAAATCAATGGAACATTACAAAATGATTCCAGGACATCTCCCCATAATCATAAATTAAGAGCCCTAAAATAGGTAAAACAGATTATAAATCTCTAATTACCTGTTTCTTTGAAAAGCTTTCATCAACTTTGGTTCCCATGGCAGCAATTCATTTAAAAGGCGTATCAACGTACCATGCAATTCTTTTACTGCTTGCCTCCGATGATACCATTTGCCCTAAAAACACAATGTTAAAGTAAATCCTTTATATTTAATCTAAAAGTGAATGTCAGGCCTTATTTTCTGAGTAAAACACAAAATGAAATGCCAATACCCATCAAATGAGTATATCTTCTTTAGAAGGCTATAAAGGAGAAAAATGTCTTGTAATAAATCTTATTTGTAATAGTTTAGAGATTCTCAATTCTATTTGGAGAAATCTAAAACCTATTTAATCAAACAAGGAGACAATTTTTTGAAGTTTTTAATTGGGTCAATTATAAATATTTTAATAAATTATTTACTAAACACATGTAAAAATATAAACATATATATAAATTCACTAAATATGTAACTGATATGGCTCACTTCTGTAAAGTTTTTGTAATTATCCCAGAGTGGGGAAAAAGAGAAAAAAGGATTGTTACATTCAAAATCAGTCTTAACAAACTTCCTCAGGAAGTTTCCTCAGGAATATTACATTTCCTCAGGAAATTTTATAATTATTGTACTTTAAAATGTTTCCAGCACAGACAAGCAGATAAATGGTCATAATTTGCAATACTATAATGCTATAGCTACAGTAAGAGCTAATAATTACTGACACCCCCTTTCCATTTGCTGAGTATTAGCCTAAGTATTTCATTCACGTTTCTATATCTGTACCTATATCTAGAGGGGGAAAGGGAGGGAGGGAAGAAGTGGAAGGAAAGTGAGGAAGAGGGGAGGGAGGAAGTGGTTCTATGAGCACGAGAGCACACATGTACTCAAGCAGTTATGAAAACATTCTACTGTGTGTACATTTTAGTCTCACTTAAGAAATGATGAAACAATGGCTCAGAGAGATTAAATAACTTGTTCGAGGTCCTATGACTTGAACCTAGATCTAGTTGATGCCTAAGTCCAAGTTCTTAGAACTACATCACCACCTCTTCAAAGCTGTATCACATAATGCAATCCAACATACATTATAAAAACCTTTAGTAAAAATACACTTCAGCAGTACTCATAAAATTATTCATATACTATAGGAACAATAAGTTTATAGCAGTTGTATCTTTAGGTAGCCAACTCTGCCCCCCTCTCCATAATGTTATAGTGCATACCTATCAACATCACCACCATCTTCACCTACTGTTATATAACCGTGTTTTGGTTTTTTTTTTGGAGATATAACTCACATACCATTCAGTCCATTCACTTTTTTTCTTTTATAACAAAAAAATATAGCCATATATATATATACATATATATATATGTCACATTTGACATGCAAAAATTAGACTTCGTCTCATAGCAATTTTTCAGTTAATTTGCACGTGTAGAACATTGTCAGAAAAATAACCTCTCCCATCCAAAAAAAGGAAAGAAAAAAAACTATTCCCTAGAGCAAAATGTATTTTAAATCTGTGCCTAAATTTTCCAATTTTATATATATCTAAAACCTTCAACATTTCATTCACTGAAATGTGAAATTTTATCTGTGTACGTGAAATTTTAGCCACAAACATAAATGATTAATAGTATAGTTCCCACTCCAACATTTTGTGCTTTAAACCAACAAAATGTTTAAGCATGTAGAAATAAACAACTACATTTCTACCTCTGAGGTTTTTAAGCTGTTTATTTGAAAAGCAGGAAGACGTGAAATTATTTTAATGGGTTAATTAAAATTGGATCATTAATAATGAATACAGAACCTAGGCTCAATGACTAATTCTTGTGTCTTCTTAATGGCATGACAAGTGAAAATATTGTGAACAAAAATTCAAGGAAAGCAATTATCTCATATAGTAACCTAGAAAAACCTTCCCTCTTGTCAAAAGCTTTCTCAAAAGACCCACCTTAACAGTAAATTATACTTCAAAGGTTTATTTCCCACTCCCCCCGCCCCAAAAGCTAGGTGATAGTACAAAGTGCTTATTCTGACCCATGGAAACAAAACTATTAAACTATAAATAATGCTTTCCCCCAGGGAGAGCTAAGTGAGGAAGATGAAAAGGCAGATGAGAGTCAACCTAAAACCATTTGTGGAATAAGGTAGCATTCTGTTTTAGTTAAAATAAACAAAAACAAAAACAAAAAAATGGGCACATCAACATTATTTCTCTACTTTTGAATTACTACTTGGCTCAAAAATGAAATGGTGAGAATAAACTTTTCCTAAGCTAAAGGAAGCAGAAAGAGGAAAGGTATGAGTAATTAATTATATCACCATTGTGGTATAATTAATTGCAAAAGTGTTAAAAGACTAGAGAGCACCAGGTTTGCTGAATTCTTTGTAACTGAGGGTTATATGGGGAAGAATGGCAGATACAGAATTAACCTGGGTGGTCTGGCTGCTATCTGGATTAGTGTAGTGGTGATGGTGTGGGGAGTGCGAAAGGACTAGCAGTATTATCAGACCTTGGGACTAGGCAGACTGAGGCACAGGAAGAGAAAGAAGTCTGTGTAGATGAAATGTCATTATTTCAACACATTTGTCAGTTGTATTTGTGTCTCTACTAAAATACAGCATTAATTCTTGTAGAAAAGAGTTTTAAAAAGATTAGAAAGATTAGAAAATCTTTTAAAAAGATTAAAAAGTTTTAAAAAGAGTTTTAAAAAGATACCTTCTGATATTATTTTGATTACTAAATTTTAAATAATCCAATGTCCAGAAAATATATTACTGAACTAGCCAACTATATACAGAGATGGGGTCATAAATATTAATCAGAGACTAGATTTCTAACTTTCATATAATTCTGTCTTATTCACTGACCTGTTTGAAAACAGCTATGGTCTTCTAACTTTATATATTTTTTGGATTTCTTCCCTTTCTTTATAGTGTATATTCTCAACCTGGGGTAGTGATGGTATGGCATTTCAGTATTTTAAAATGCATATTTAGGGGCACCTGGGTGGCTCAGTGGGTTAAGCCTCTGCTTTCAGCTCAGGTCATGATCTCAGGGTCCTGGGATCGAGCCCCGCAATGGGCTCTCTGGCTCGGCAGTGAGCCTGCTTCCTCCTCTCTCTGCCTGCCTCTCTGCCTACTTGTGATCTCTCTCTCTCTCTCTGTCAAATAAATATAAAAAATCTTTTAAAAAATGCATATTTAATCATTTTGTGCTTGGAAAGCAAAAGGTCTATTATTCTTATAACAGAAATTGCAGAAAGTAAAGTTTGACAAAAACTAGAAGATATATACAAAGAATACAATGACCTCAATGAAGGATATCACTTTATCCTGTCATGGTGTATGTGTGTCCACAGTTTTTATGTTTATCAAAGGGGGACATAAATTTTAAAAAGTTCAGAATTACTGCTCTGGGACGGGTATTTTAGGTAAAGTGTTTTCCCCTCTTGACACTAAAAAAGAAACTCATACTGCTTGTTTCATTTACCATCTTCTTTGGTTAATACAACCCAAATGGAATTAAAACACCATGTCCCCTTCTACCTACTGGTGGTCACAGTATACAATGAGACTAGTGTAAACAGAAAAAAATTTATAAATTTTACAAAAAGAAGTTAGAGATGGCAATGATATGCCTTAAGTTGGGTTTAAAGTAAAAATCTATGTAAAATCAAATATTTCCTGAATTTAAATTAGGTTATTAACTAAAAGCTAGCAATAGCTTTTCTAATTGATCAACTTTATTTATATACACAGAAAGGAAAAACTGAGAACTACAGTGTTTCTTCTAGGATGAAATTATTAAATCAAACAAGGAGACAATTAAATTGTTTTTAATTACAACTAATTCCTAAAGGGAAATTCCTAAAGGGAATGAGAAGAACATAATTTTATAGAGAGAAGTTGGCTCAGCAGTGAATCACAGGAAAGTACTTCTAGATAGAAGCAGATTTTTTCAGTTAGAATTCTAGCTCTTCTGAACGTTAAAATCTAACTCTCCTTCCACTACATAATGCTGTACCGCTTGGTCTACACACAGACAATTTCTAAAGAACAAAAGATTATATTGTGAAAGTACTTATCTTTATATGTAGGTGTCTCTGTAATGAAAAAATTAAAACCTAGAAAACTTATTTTTATTTGTTTAATTATAACAGTACTTAAAATTATAGTGTTCTAAAGTTTAAAAGTGAATTAAAAAATAAGGAACACAGCAAATTCCCTGTTCTTCAAATACATAGGAAAGAATATGGACGAAATAAAAAATCAGAAAGCTCTTACAGTCTTTATATGTAGTGATCAATACAGAATCAAAGACAGCAGATAGGATTAGTAAAAGGTCATTTGTGGAACAGTGTTATAACCACATCTCTAATAAAAAAATATATTTAATAAGCTAAAAGTCAGCAATAGCTTTGTTTTACAAACATGTGAAAATGGGGATAAATGAACTATTTCATTTAATATTATTTTCGTTTAATATCTCATTCGATATTAGAATTCTCACTATTTTCACGGATAAAAATTACCTTCTAAGATAATCCCAATGTATTATGTGAACTTAATATTGCAAACATTTACTGAAGGTCACTTTAAAGAAGAGGAGAGTAGTATTTTTCTTTCATGAATTTACTATAAAGTTTAACATAAAGTATGAATTTCAAGCATACACAATGGAACCAAAGGCATACAATATGGTCTAAATCTGAAGCTTACCTTTCAATATTTTCTCATCCAATGTCCACAGCAGCTGCAGATTGCCAGCTCCCTTTCCATGAGATGCCCCAAATGTCAAACAATGGAGGTTTTATAACCTCATAGGGATTACTACAAAAAGAAGCTGGTCTATGGTCACAAGACAAGGCTTTTATTATATTATGCAGTTTTATAAGTTTTTGAATATGATACATTAATGACCTAAGGAACCAAATGGGAAAAGAAACTTTAAAAAAAACTTACAAAACTACACAATATTGTAAAATGAAAAGCTGAGTCTATGTGTGTGAAATGAGTGGGTAGGGAAACTTACCTTACAACTAAAGAATGATTCCACTCTGCTGCAGTAATCGGGGATGGGTATGACAGAACTAGCATAATGCTGGCTGGGGTGTTGCAAGGA